AAAACTATCTAATCTTTGATCTTTAACTGGTTGGATGGTCATAAATGAGAGACGTAATGTAGATATATATACCACGTCCGTAATACTACAGTTTATGTCTCTGCATAAATGTACCGATCGCGTCCAACTTACATGAATTAGTTGACGAAGTGTTTCCTATACTGTCCAGTGACAGGAGGTACAATTAATATATGCTTGTTTCACCATTCATATTTGTATTTATTTAAGTTTGTTAAAAAATCGATTAAATATAGGCGAAAGCAAAGTTCAACAGACATTTTATAAAAGACATTTTAACCTATTTGATTGTATTTATTTAATTTTGTTAAAAAATCGATTAAATATAGGCGAAAGCAAAGTTCAACAGACATTTTATCGAAGACTTTTTAACCTATTTGAGTAACTTACTGTAGCTGCTATAGTGGTTTTATATTATATCGTTAAAAACATGAAAATTGAAAATATTGTTGACTACAGAACAGGCAGATAACTTGCCGTGGCGCTATTACAATTTCTCCAAAACTTCAGCAGGATTCAGACTCTCCATTAACTGACTGAGTTTGGGGTTATTATGCTAAGTATCTGGCGACAAAGATGAACAGGTCGATACTGTCCTTCTTAACCCACAACGAAAACTCCTCGTTAACTCCGTCAGTCACTTTTTGCATATCTGAGGAAACTCTCTCAAATGGATTCAAAAATTTCTGGACAGGAAGGATACAAGTCTAGGTTGCTTGTACCCGCATTTCATCAGATTTTAGCGGACGACTGCCTGTTCCACAGACTGGTCTGAACTCCTTAGTACTCTAGATCTGTAACGTTGCAATAGGACATGGACAGACTACAGAATAGGGAAAAAAGTAATATGGATAATACTTACAGGAAGAAAACCAGTTTTATATTTATTGTAACAGTGACCTTAACCTTTTGAAATTTGGACATGAAATGCAACCCAAACGATGCCTTCCAGTCAGGATATTCATCATCAAAATGTCAGGGGTTACGCTCAGCTACGACCTCTGAACATGATAATGAGTAAACGTGACACTTTATGAAGTTTGAGTTTGACGAGCCCGTGAAAACTTCCGAGTTCACAGTATAACAGCCCTTCACCTTTGACATTAGGACTTGAGCAATTCCATACAAGCTTCCAGTATGGAGCAGGGCCTTGTGTTAGTTATGTGGCAATAATCATGCTACTCAATCATTATCAAACGTGAACGAAATTGTGCACAGCCCGTAAAAACTGATCTACTTACCACTTCTATCCATGTTTAGATGAGGAGAATATTGAAATGTATGCTGACCTGACCGTTGGAGGGTTGCCACCAGGTGATTGGCAGTTTAGGGTGGCCCTTGCCCAACGTCATCTATAGTACATCGAGTCCAGAAACTCAGGTTTGGACAAATAAAAAGTCAGAGATCCGTAGGTCAAGGACATGCCTTGACCGAGGTATGTTTCATACTTTCCTCATTCTTACTCCTGCAACTGAATATGGATCTGGGGTTAAAAGCCCTGACATTTTCCCTTATCTTTATCTTATTTGTATCGTCTTGATTAAATGTATTAACATTATGATATCGCCTAGCTCAAAATGTCTAGTCATTATCAAATGTGAATTAAATACCGCAGAATCCGTAAGAACATAACATGACACAACACCCATCATCAATGTTTCTTGAAGTGCTCCAACTCCAGAATGGCTCTAGATTTTGACTAAATTTGGTCTGGAGCATATTTTGATAAAAAAAAGTCAACATCGTTCTCATTTAATGTTGACGATCTGGTTATTACTTGAATTTTTTAATTATCAAAAACTTCCAATTTTAATCAAATTACATCTATTTTAAAATAATTTAATCATGCTTGTAATAAAGCATTTTCATTGGCTTAAAATTTATATTATCAGTCCATAACGTAAAACAAGAGGCCCAATGGGCCTGCATCGCTCACCTGGTATAAATCTCACATTTGTAACCTTAAAAGTGATCTAAAATAAAGCTACAGGCAAAATATCAGTATTTATGATTAAAATTCATTCAAAAAAGACCCTGTTAATTTTTTTTTAAACATTTCACCCCTGTGATTGAAAGTCGAACAAAGTCATTATGTTACACAAATTTTATAGCCTTTCATCTCAGGATGAAACTTGCAAAGTTTCAACATCCTGGGACCCATGGTTATTCAGAAGAGGTCATTTAAAGATTTTAAACAAATTTGACCCCTGTCACCTTGAATATGGGTGAAGGTCATTCATTTGGACAAACTTTTTAGCCCTTCATCTCAGCATGCTACTGGCCAAATATCATTACGGTTATTGAGAAGAAGTTGTTCAATGTTTTTAACATATTTGACCTCTGTGGCCTTGAATATAGGTGAAGGTCATTCATTTGAACAAACTTGGTAGCCCTTCATCTTAGCATGCTACTGACCAAATATCATCACCATGTGCATTTTGGTTATTGAGAAGAAGTTGTTCAATGTTTTTAACATATTTGACCTCTGTGGCCTTGAATATAGGTGAAGGTCATTCATTTGAACAAACTTTGTAGCCCTTTACCCAAGCATGCTTCTGGCCAAATATCGTATCCATGGGCAGTTTGGTTATTCAGAAGACGTTGTTTAATGTTTTTAACATATTTGACCCCTGTCACCTTGAATATAGGTGAAGGTCATTCATTTGAACAAACTTTGTAGCCCTTTACCCAAGCATGCTACTGGCCAAATATCGTATCCATGGGCAGTTTGGTTATTCAGAAGACGTTGTTTAATGTTTTTAACATATTTGACCCCTGTCACCTTGAATATAGGTGAAGGTCATTCATTTGAATAAACTTGATAGCCCTTTACCCCAGCATGCTACTGGCCAAATATCATCACCTTGGGCATTTTGGTTATTGAGAAGAAGTTGTTTAAAGTTTTTAACATATTTGACCCCTGTGACCTTGAATATAGGTGAAGGTCATTCATTTGAACAAACTTGGTAGCCCTTTACCCAAGCATGCTACTGGCCAAATATCGTCTCCCTGGGCAGTTTGGTTATCGAGAAGAAGATGTTTAAAGTTTTTAACATATTTGACCCCTGTGACATTGAAAATGGGTGAAGGTCATTTATTTTAACAAACTTTGTAGCCCTTTTTCCAAGTTTGCTTCTGGCCAAATTTCATCACCCTAGGCCTTTCGGTTATTAAGAAGAAGTCATTTAAAGTAAAATATTGACGCCGGACGGACGCCGGACAGACGCCGGACGCCGCGCCATGGCATAAGCTCACTTGGCACTTCGTGCCAGGCGAGCTAAAAATGACGTCGCCATTTGTAACGTCGATTTTGATTGGCTGATACTGCAGCGCAATAATTTCTAAGAGAAAAGAGTCCATCAATAAAAGTGGATTTCCACAGGGATTGTGTATAGTAGATTAAATTATAAGGATTAACATGAATGTATTTTTCATGTTATGGAGCTATAACACAAACAAGAGGCCCAATGGGCCTGCATCGCTCACCTGGTATAAAACTCACACTTGTAACCTTAAAAGTGATCTAAAATAAAGCTACAGGCAAAATATCAGTATTTATGATTAAAATTCGTTCAAAAGACCCTGTTAATTTTTTTTTAAACATTTCACCCCTGCGATTGAAAGTCGAACAAAGTCATTATGTTGAACACATTGTATAGCCTTTCATCTCAGGATGCAACTTGCAAAGTATAAACATCCTGGGACCCATGGTTATTC